AAGTCAATTCACCAGTCCAGCCAGCTATGGCACCCCTGTGGCTCCCTAAGTTGCTTATATTTAATCAGATACTATTTCGTCATCATGCTTTGTTACCTTACCTGTTTATACCTCATGAGGGCGTTTTTTTATGGCAAGATGGCGCAAACGGAAGTCCTTCGCAGGTTTATGGTTTCTCATATTTAAATCATCATAACTCTGAAGATAATCATTTTTTTTAAATTTTTTTTTCAGATTTATAATCAATATACATAACTTGATAAATACAAACACCAAAATAGGCTCTATTTAGTTTCCCTTTAATTTAGAAATTTGAGTGCAAGAACTAAATTTCACTGTTACCCTGAAGAACTACAGTAAAGCTTTTACAGCTGAAATGTTTTAAATAGTTTGATCTGTAGCTTAATTATATGCTACCTGTAACATTTGACTATCAAGGCATTAGGGTGGGGCATGTTAATGAATGCTTTGATATTGGTGACCATATTGATTTTGCATACCTTAATACTTCTTAAGTTGAGTAATCACTCCACACACATATCACTCAGCTGAATCAAGATTCAGAATAGCTTCCAATCCATACCATTTGATATAGATTTTAATAGCACAACTCCCCCCAAATCACTCATGTTACAGTGTTCAGGATAGCCATTTTGACCACACAGACAATTTTCAAGAAGAACAGCAATGTCAATATTTTTTTAACAGTTCTCTATAGGCTAACTAGCATTTGTTCATTAACAGTGACACATATATATAACAGCATCAACAGGTTCTTGGTAAACAGTAACTGCATGCACACATACAAAACTAAAACGAGTGTATCCATTATCGCTACTGTCACTGCCATATTATTTAAGACACCCAAACAACAACATTGCCAGCTACGTTGCTGGTTAGCTTGTCCAGAGATGTATGCCAAGCACAAGACTCACATTAGCAACTGTTTTGTTGAATTTGTGAGGATAACATTGTAATGCAGCAATATAGGATTGAGTGAAATAAATTGAAAGGTAATAGACCCTTTTCCATTCAATGTGAGATCCACCACGTTATGATTGAAATCAAACATAAAAACAGGACAGATTTGACAAGCACAAAACATTTTGGGGGGTTTTTCCACACTCAGTAATGTGCTATACTAAACTAAAAAAAAAAGAGAAAATCCAGCAAATCCACAAGATCTCAACAGTGAACAGAAAACCACCTATTGCATATTTAACATATCCCTCAGTATTTGTTTGAGGTTAGTTTAGCCCCGAGTACAGTTCTGTGGGTTGGCCTCCTACCGCTGATCATTCAGCCCCACAATCCTGAGAAGTCACATAGACTGGGGATTCGACACACAGCTAAAAATTTATGGCGGAGAACCTTTCTGCAGTTTTCATGATTGTAATCAGCCAAAACATCTATCGACCAATCAAGCAATCATAAATACTACCTTTCTTGTGGCAGAAAAATTAACCTATAGCACTGAAACGTTGGTGAAAGCTAGTTTTACGCAACAAAACAACGTTTTGCTTATAAATACGTCAAGAACAAAATCGCAGTGTATATTTTCTGTTGACGTTGGAAAATGTTGATTTGATTGACCCTAGTGCGAAATCTTATATTATTTCGCTTCCAGTTAATGTATTTGGGATAGCTAAACGCATCGACCTGCTTATTTTTTAGCTGAATGCCTCTTAAATCGCCCGATACAGCCCTTCACATAGTGTTGAATTCCTAGTTCATGCGACTTTTCAGGACTGTGGGAGCCGAATGATCAGCGGAAGGAGGCCAACCTACATGACAGTACGAGGGTTGGTTTGACCCAAGTTATTCCAGTCACATAAGGATTTCTACATGCACATAGCAAACAAGTCAGCAACTTAGAGCTAGCAATGTTGCTGTGTCTGTGTTTGAAATATGTATATGACAGTGATAGTAACACCAAGAAAATCACATCGCCAACAAAATTTGGTGCTTCAAAGGATTAAAAACTGGGAGGAGGGCTGAAGGAATTCAGTTTTATTTCATTTATAACTGCATGAAGACATTTTATTTTTTTCCTGAGAGTTTTAAAGTTAACGTCAAGCCCTATTGTACAACCAGGTTATTGGCTACGATACATTAGTAAGATTTTTCCCCAAAAAACGAAGATTGGATAACAGTCAAAACTGAAACTCTCTGAATTACTGAATACCAAGTTTGTCATGCTGCTGCAGGTCAAGACTGCCATGAAAATCGTAACGAAAACGATATGGAAACATAGTTTAAATCCAACACAAACGAATCCTCCACCTGGCAGACGATATTACTGTTACAGCTCCATATCGACTGTATCATAACGGTCCAAATTAAAATAAAATGGACATGAATAAATGAAAGTATAAACAAACCTCTTACTGGAAGTTCGCAGTTACTTCTCGTCGTTGCGCAGACTACAGCTGCGTTGGTTTACACAGCGTCGATCTTGGAACCAATCAAAAAAGTTGTTGTACCACGCTACGGTTACTCCACCACAAGAGGGCGCCTGTCTCGCTATGCTTCATGGGGATTCTGTGTTACAATCGTCTTTTTCAATTTTAAAGACGGCAACAACAACAACAACAACAACATCTTTGCCATAAACTCTGGTGTGCTGTTGGTGTTTTGTTGCATATACGTGCAATAAATCTAACAACAACAATATTTTCAGCTGAAGTTTAAATCACATATATTTGGCCATGAATTGTTAATTGCATTACTTTTTGAGTTGAAACTAGAGACGGATTTATTTCTAGAATAACTTGATCCATACCTCGGGGGCGGACATCCGGGCCTTTTCACCGCCTGGCAACCAGCGGCGGTGAAAACAAAGGCACAAAACTCGCAGAAAACGGTACTTTGGGATGATTGTTGAAACTCCTCTGAACAGTGTAACAAGATTAGCCCTACGTGTGTAACATATATAAATTTGGTTGTTCGGGATTACTTCAAAGTTGAGTTTGTGTTGTTTTCTCGAATTTTCACCAGCCCGACCGGCGTTCCACGGCAGCGCGCACAGAGCCCATAGAAATGCATGTACAGTGGTACGTGTCTTAGCAACGTGGAACGCCTCATGACGTAGCTCCGCCCCCGAGGATACCATATATAGAGCTGAAGTTGATTCTTGCTTGTTTTGATATTTTTGAGTTGTCAATGGTACAGTTAAAGGAAACATCAATCCAAACAACATGATGACCTCTAAAGAAAAAAGCTCCACTAATGTAGGAGAATGCAGTTTACAGTTTTTTTATATCACTTTTCATTCTGAAATAATTTTCTCAATTTCTGACAACAGATTTTATGATGTCATACTTTACCCACAATCCTTTGCTTGAGAATCAAGATGGCTGACTACATAATACTGATATAAAGTTGAATATATAGGGAATGGAAAGTGATATAAAAAAAAACTGTAAATTGCATTCTCCTATATTTGTGGAGCTTTTTCTTTTATAAGGGTCATTATGTTGTTTGGATTGATATTTCCTTTAACGTCATAAAGACATTAATGTATTGTTATGGAAATTTATATAACATTTACTAGTAGCCCTTGCACATAATTCCCCCAAATACGCTACCATGAACCATAAAAGCCATTTCGGCAACGCCCACTAACCGTGAATGTTTACGGGTTCCCTTCAGGCCGATTTATTGTCGTGCACCGCCGTGCGATTGATCAAGTTATTTTTTAACCGTCATTTAATATTATGTGCATTTGTGAATATATCATATGAAAAACAAATCATGCCTCCATGAAATTCGCTGTGTCCATTCAATAGTTAAGGTAAATGAATAAAGAAATAAGATCGCAAATCAAATTGCAAGATTTCACTTTTTTTGGATGTACTGTATTGAGAAGGCATGAGAAAGAAAGAGCAGGACTTCGTGAATAGGACGAAGTCTGAAATAAAGACTTTTGTTTTGGATTCCGTCTGTCAGTTCTTTGTGTGTCCGCCGATGTAATTTTAGATCGCGATTGTATATGTGATTCGCAAATTCTCTGTGGATAGATTTAATTTGTATGTGTGTGTGTGCATATAAGGTTGCCAGAGCCACCTGAACTCATCGTCCGCTTGCACAGTTTCGTATCCGTTCTGTAGTACTCTAATATATGGAAGCAGTGAACTCAATCAATGCACATTGAACATTCATGATGAGTTCTAGAAAAAATTTGGTCTGAAAAAATCGGTTGGTAGGTGAAAACGGCATTTGGGGGTGGGCGGTGAGTTGTTAGCATAATTTCCCGGAAGTTTTATCTAACATTGGCATAACTAATATTTTGTATTCGCTGTTCTGACGGAGGACACACTGAAACCTTAGGCATGCTTGCTGTTTATGTAGACGAAATTCTAATGCTAATTCTAAAGTTACGAATATTATATTCATTAATAATTCAATAATTTGGGTATTGATGAACCATTTTCATCGTCTTATAAGTTTACTCAAATGAATTGAAATCAGAAACCTTTTGTTGGCAAGGTCCTTACTAACATCTCAGACAACAGTTAATCAGCCCCCAAAGGATGTACATAATAAGTAATTAATTAACATAATGGAGCACCTTCAGTTCATGCCTTGTTCATTTTACCGAAGACATTTTCTAATGTCTTTGATTTTACCCACGTGACGCCCGTGTTATGTTTAGAACGAAAATGCAGTTTTGGCTGTAAATATGACTGAATATCAAGAAACATTGTTTTGTACATTCAAATTGCATGATAAGCACTCTTCAAATATATCATATGCATCTAAGGTCAGAGAACCTCAATATACATCAACCCGAGTCACAATTATAAATTCAGTATGGACTCAGTTGAAAAAAAAAATACGCCAGACAGTGCATGGACACAACGAGGGGAGGTAAAACTTGATACTTTTTCAGGGTATGGCTCACTGATAGATTACTCTTTTTAGCTCCATGTTGCCCTGGGCTACACATATAATAATAGAAGTGTATTGTCGTGTGGAATTTAGACATGCAACAGACGACTTTTTAAAGATCTTGATGCATCCAATTGCCTGTCTGATCTCCGTGATAGATATATTGTTGTCACTGCAGACAAAGCTTCCCATACATGGCTTACTGAAAATAATATTTCTACAACCAAATAACTTTTAGCAAAAATAAAATTCTTGTTAATCCAAATTCATGAAATACGCAAACTCTATCAAAAACGAAATAAATGACTTGATCAGCTTGTCTTGGATATTCAAGATTGCTGGATCATATATAACATAAATATAAATATAACATCTATTTTGTCTCCTGACAGAATTAAAAAATATGTTGATGTCATCTGGTTCGTTCCGCTGTCATCGTAGACGTCAGACCTGTTGATTGTCCGCCCCTTGCTCGTTAACAATTTATTTTTTGACTTCTTCTTGAAAACTACCAGCCGTATTGCTTTGAAATGTTATATGTACCTTTATTGGGTGGACCTGTTTATCATTAATTTCGTCACGATATCAGTAATTCTCTCTTTTAGCAAATACTATTATGTCATTTTTGGTTTTAAAACAAATCTACCTTTTCTTGAAAACCGCCAGCCTGGTTGATTTGATATTTGAGATGTACATGTGATGTAATTTGTTTGATGAAATTAGGTTGACATGTTCTTGACAGCCAGAACCATTCATTTGATGTGAGTTAACTACGTTTTGTATTATCGGTGTGCATTACTTGACTAGGTGACTACAATGTTCTTGTAGGACATCGAAGCTATTTCGATGATATATAGAATTCAAGGTCATTTTCAAATGTTACGTCAATTAACACTTTTGATTTATTACATTATATGCTATTATATCACATGGTGAATTAAAGCTACGCCCATCAAGTCAGTCGACATACATACTATATAGTAAGTAGTTGTTGAATACAGTTCAAGCTACTTCGTTAAGAACAAGACTGGTCTACGCTGGATATGGAATATAATTTCTTATTGACAATATTATTTTCTTTCAAGTGTTGGCATTCAAATGGGAGCAAATTGTGATAGGTTATTTGTTTCGTATATAGCTCGTACGTTATTGCTCAGACCACTAAAGAACATATTAGCAACGCGGCTTTTCCTTTGGTCAGATGCGTGCCACGTTTGTTTTTGGGTTTAAAGCGCGCTGGTCGTCGCGCATTGCGTGTATCAAAACCACAATTATAAAAAAAAAAAAAAAAAAAAAAAACATTTCCTGGGCATTTTTTTCTCTGTTGTGAAATTAAATATTGAACAAAAGAGTCTTCGTTTACACGAATATTGATGAAATAAGAAAGTTGCCACACCATGTTTACTCGATAAACAGTGAACTTGTTTTAGCTACATGAAACTCTCATTGCGCTGGGTTTATTTTCACGGGATTGAAATGTTAAATGTTCATCAAGGTGTTTACAAAAAACTAAAGATTTTCACAATAATTTTAGACCGTGAGCCATTTTTTCATCTTTCTAATTTGACGCTATGCGCATAATAAAATAATTTGTTTTCGGGCACCAAAGCAACCGATTAATTCAAGCATTTCCCAAAATTTTTCCTACGGTGGACGGACGTTTCTGTTTATAGAAATATTTAATATATAGTTTATTACGTTTCTAAGATAATCTTACTATTGAACTCTACTTTATAGGCCGAAACGTCTGCCCTGGTCGAAACTCTTGGCCGAAACACCCGGGGCCGAAGCGTCCGGTAGTCGTCTACTACATGTCATACCCATGGAGCTGGAAAGGGATCCCTTCCTGGGGGGGGGGGGGCAAGGGTTATTTTCGTTCAAGGTAATTGCAATATTTTTTTGTTCGTACAACGTAATTCCTTGTAAATTGTAAAAAGCCTTTTTTTATTTCCCGTAAAACTGTACCAGCTACCTCCCTCGCCCCACTTTTTTCTAGCTCCATGTCATACCCAAGACCACTCGTCCCAGTGTTATCGTCATCGCCCGCATCTCACAGACTCGTGTGGCTTATAACACCGGGACTAATGGTATGGGTTACGCATATCATAGTGTTTGCTCACATGTTGGGAAAGACAAATAATCCTGACATGGATGAAAGGTAGTTGCAATTTGTTCATAAATACATTTTGTACTGAATTGATCACATTGCAAGAGAACAAAACCACACCGGAAACAAGCTGGACACGGCTGTGTTTCTAGTTTGCTAAACCATAATAGACAGGATGTCTGCAACCAACTATTGTGGTTTGCGTGTGTCACAATCCCTCTATAGATTGTTCGTTTAATACGTGTATATCTATTTTTATATCGGGAGGGTCTTCACATGCGCGCGCGCGGGAATTGAGTCCCAAGCGACGATAACAGGACGCGATAAAAAACGCAAAGGCTCATGGGTAGATGCTTGTTTGTAAACAATGACATGCTAAGGCCATCTGACGCATGCGAAGATGACGACTCCCCGCTTTAAGTGAAAACACACACAGTTTCAACAACAAAAATGAGAATATCCTCACAGAACTTGAAAAACAAAATATTGAAATGAACCCCCTTCTTTTGTCGCTGTTGGTGAAACGCAAATTTTGGGGTTTTTAGAACACCTCTATGTTATAAACCCCGATGTTGGCAAGAAAGATCTTCGATCCAACGAGTAAACTTGTTACGTACATAGCTTCAGGAGTAGACCACCAATTTAATTCAATGATCCTGCATTTCATTTCATGGCATATTAAATGTACATGTACTAGCACAATCCTTTCTTATACAAGTCGCCCTCTAGTGACAAGGCGCTTTATGATGAGACGAAAACGGTTTTGGCGGAAATTTCACTATATTCTCGTTGACAAACGACTTACGTTACCAATCATAGTTGTCTATTTTAATGACATTGATTTCACTCAATACGCCATTATGACGTCACATAAGCACCCCGCCAATAGAGGGCGCAACTAATAGGAATGATGAATTGCTTGACTTTATTTTATAAGTCATTAAGTTATACAAATTTATCGCGAGTTGGAAATTCATTGAACTATGTATTTGCTATCAGTTCCTTCCCCAAATCACGTAGTGTGAACAACTATTTGTTACTACTTTGAGCGCTAAATACTTTCCCTCCGTTGTAGACAGCATATATGAGAAGTTTTGTGGACGACGTCATGTCATACCAAATTTTGCATCCTGCAATCGTCAACTCGATATGCAACCAGTGATAACAATCAACTCCCTGTAATATGCTCACACCGGCATTCTTTACTGTAGGCAGTCTGGCACTCTGGGTTTGTTTCAGCATCACCACTACAATTCCCATGAAAATGTAGCCCTGACCCCCCTCTACAGTTTCCACAGAGATTTGTAATGGTACGACCCATTTATCCACTGCAGTTCGTGTTTATAAATCTTATAAGGCAAAGTGTTTTCACTGATCTTCAACTTTGTGACCTGGTATTTCACTGATGGCTCTTTATAATGAATGCAATTTTTACAGTTGGAAGATATATTATACATTTCTGACCACTTTTTTCAATATTTCAGCGTTAATATTTCATAAAACCAAATTAAAACCAGACTGTGGTTCATTTCTGTCACTGAATCAGATCAAGGTCATGACATCACTGAAAACCCTAGCATTACCATCTAACCTAATTATTTATTCTGAGCATGCTCAGTTGTTCTCTCAGTGTTGTTGGGAGAGGTAATTTTGGATGAAAATCATGAAAAAGACCCACTTAGGATTTTCAGATGTGGAAAAAAAATTACGTGCATATTCAACAGAGACTTGTTCATCAAGCTGCAAAGTTTCATCAAAATCTGCTGCAGAATTTCTGAAAAAATGTTAGAGACGTCACAAAGGGAAACCTAGCTACATCTCATGGCACGCCCTTTCCTTAACTAGCACTTATATCTCATGGACAAAACCCCATAACCCCTGTAGGTCAGCTTAACTAGAACTCAATTGTCAACACACTTACGCAAACATTTCATGAATTATTATATTGCAATAATATTTATTTAATTTAAAACCTAATTACAAAGTAAATATATTTCAAAGCACCGCATTTGGCAACCATAAAATATTTACACAGAATTTTATTATGAAAATGGCATGATGGGTGATACTATAGCTGACTCTACTATAGTTGCCAACCCAAAGCCCTGCTAAATATATATTAAATGGTAAATATAACGCTTTTTTGTTTTTTCAGAGCTAACAGACAAACACATCGTATATGCTCTACTAGTAGTGCATATGCTTACATACATATACAATGATTCAGTATACAATACACGTACATAGAACATAGAACAGCTTAGTTGAGAAATAGAGCAGCTTAGTTGAGAAATAGAGCAGCATAGTTAAAAATAGGACAGCTTGGTTGAGAAATAGAACAGCTTAGTTGAGAAATAGAGCAGCATAGTTGAAAATAGAACAGCTTGGTTGAGAAAAAGAACAGCATAGTTGAGAAATAGAACAGTATAGGTGAGAAATAGAACAGTATAGGTGAGAAATAGAACAGCTTAATTGAGAAATAAAACAGTATAGGTGAGAAATAGAACAGCTTGGTTGAGAAATAGAACAGCTTGGTTGAGAAAAAGAACAGCATAGTTGAGAAATAGAACAGCATAGTGAGAAATAGAACAGCACAGTTGAGAAAAAGAACAGCATAGTTGAGAAATAGAACAGCATAGTGAGAAATAGAACAGCGCAGTTGAGAAATTATGATACATTTAATTTCTTTTCAATCGGCCACTATTTGCTCACCTTCTCCAATAGACAATTAATACTCCAATGAGAAATCTAAATAAACCATGCAATGCTGACAAACAAAATGGTAATATCACAGCATTTCTTTACAATAAATAGCCAAGCAAGTGACACATCAAGAGATAAATAAATAAGCATAAATAATAAATCAATGTAGGCACAGTCAAAAATACTGTTGTATGGACAGTAATACATAAATATATTTCAGGAAAGTCAATGCCCAAAATTCCCATCTCAAACGTCGTTGGGATACCACAGATGGGAGGGGATTTACAAGAATATTCCAGTAACATTATGCATTTACAAGAAATAACATGACACTACACATGTTAAATCACAACAAATGCTACTTGTAAAAAGTGGTTCTGTTTTGTACCCAATTTCAAATATCATTGTTGATTTAGTGTACTTCACATTAAATGTTAACTGAACTCAACAAACTCACTGCATACTGTATTCTACTATAAATCTATGCTTTGGTCAATTAATAAATTCCAAAAACAAAATCCGTAATCATGATATAATATTCATATTTATAATTTTGTTGCAATGTTGAAACTGCTTCAAAGATTAAATTGTTCAATGTGAATAGTGTCATTTAAGGACAATTCTTGGGACAATGTAAAAAGCATACAATCAAGATATCCACAATAATTCTCGTTAACGAAGAAAAAAGGATTCAAGACAAGCTAAAGAGCCGATATACTTGCATCTTGAACATGGCTGAGGCAATATTGTTGGTATAAGGTAAGACATATAGATTTACATAAATAAATCCCCAACTGTTCTGGGGAAAACAGTCTCAGACATCAGGCCACCCACCAATAGACTACTGGGGTAGTTTGCAGTTCTCTAATTGCATCGTTACTGAAAGCACATCAGTGTTGATTTATTGAATTCCTAACAGTTAACATTTTCTTGACTGTTGCTCCTCTGAGAAGATACATTATCTACGTAGTCATACCAAGATGTCATAATTTCATATTTCATCATGCTTAATTAGTGTATACGAGTATATTTTACAAACAATTTTCTAATTTTCAAAGACAACTTTGGATGCCTACACAATACACCCTCCATCTACTTACAAAGATCAACACGATGACATGCATTAGCAGCCGAGCTGACACTGAAATTTCTCCCCCTGTTGTTTATAAAATAAAACATTATTAGGGTAATTCCATACATCTTTTTTTTTTCTCAACAGTTCCAGACATTGAATGTTACTGTTAAATTGTCCCTCCTGACTTTTTTATGTACAAATTGACACATAGTGAATTTTTGCCACAGAAACCATATTCATGTTTGGGAAGACATGACAGTGCCGCGCATCCATCTCTCAAGTACCCTCAATATCATATTCATTAGTGAATAAATCTCGACCAGTGAAATTGACCTTCCCATTGAGTCTGTGGCACACTCACCCAGGGTAGGGGTCAACCCTTTTTGATGTTCAACCTAAGATAGGATTTGAACCTAGGTCTACAGATCACGAGTCTGATGCAACAACCTCTATGCTAACAGTGACCAGTTGGCATATGTCGTTGCCCTCTCAGGACTTATCATTTCAGGGGACCAAGTACATATTGAAAGAAAAGATGAACACACTGTTGTCATCATGGCAACCATTATATGTGTAAAACGTTTAAATTGTCAACTTTCAAGAAAACCTCAAACAGGTAGTGTTCGTAACAAACTTCACAAACATAAGCCAACAGACAAATTTCTAGATTCACAGCCACACACACTGGCATAAAACATCAGTTTATGAAAATATTCAATAAACATCTTGAGGGCAGACTTGACATTCGCTCTAAAACATTTGAGAAAATAAGTACATTTTAAGTGTATACATTATTTTTGTCGACAACTGTGTTTATGAATTAATCGGTGGTTTACTTTCAATATATGAACCAGCAGATCAGTCAGGTTGACACATTGATAATTTGATGAAACAGAAAACGATACGGTAGTTCCTCAGTTTTAAATAACATATATCGAGAACAATAAACCTGCTTAAAGATCATGTACTTGTACTCAAATGATCTCTCATAAGGTCATAATATTTAGTCACGGTGGCTGCTGAACAACAAAATCCTATTCAGTAATAATAAATATCACTCGCTGCTCTTTTTGGTGTCCACACAGTTGTCTCTGTATCATCAGACTCATCTGAAGTTCTGGTATTTCTCCAATCTTTGACTCCTCTCAAATTAAGGTATAGTTGATAGTCTTCATCCTCTGTGTCAATAAATAGGTGAAAATTATTTCATTAACTGTTGACACTTACGGTAACACTACACTTGAGACTACTACGTACACTGGATATACTCGGTATATTGTGACTACCACATACACTGGATATACCCAGTATACTGTGACTACCACATACACTGGATATACTCGGTATATTGTGACTACCACGTACAC